GATATTGAGTATTGCTTATTTAAAGGAATTTAAACTAAAGTATCGGCACTGGAAGAACCTAAGTAATCTATTGATAAAGTAGACATCGCCAGTGATATACATAAGGATGCAAAAATCGTAGTTTAGTTTGGACTGAATTAAGTATAGCCTACTGTTGTATTTATACATTTATTTTAACAAATAAAAATATTCAATGGTACAAACGTTTAAGACATGTATTAAGAAGTTAAAATATAAGTCAAAACTACTTGGTACATAGGAAACTTCGGACTTTCTTTTATGGTTTTTGAATAGTCAAATTATGTATCACATATGATACACATGAAAGATAAGGACCAATAGTGTCCCAAAATATCAGGAATATTAAAAGATGGGAGAACATTTAAGCCAAAAGAAACATTTGTCAGCTTCTGATATGAATCTGCGGGTATTATTTTTGAAAGCGTGAATAGATGATTGCGACTCCTGCTTGTGAAGGATTGGTATAGTGTGCTTCTGTTCACGTTGTTGGTCACAAGTTGATGTCCAATATTGAACCAAATAAGGAAGAAATCAAGGAAAAATCATCTAAATTAGAGTTCTAACAGATGACGGTTCGAAATTACCAAGTGATGAACCCGCTTAGGTAGTAATGAAGGGTAAATTAAATGGTTTAAGGTTAAGTTCGTTTTTGAGAAAGTATGTGATATTGGCAATGTTTACTGTAGTTAATTTTTTTCAATTTGCACTTTCGTTTATGAAGATGGCCATATTTGAGAAGTTTAATACCCTCTACGATTTATTAATAATTTAATTTGAATTTTACTAATTTATTTATTTATAAATTATTGCAACCAATTAATCTTATCTACATTTTCTTGGAGACACCTGAATGCTAGATGCATCTGTATGTGTCTCATTACGATTTGTATATTTATTTATATGTAATTTTAAAACTATCTCAAGACTCTTAAAGCCATATTACAATGTTTTAAATTATTTCTATATAAACTTTATCTTACTTTACTAAACTTTACTTCATTTAAATATTCCATTAAACAAGTTATAGTTGTTAAAGATATATGTATTACATACTTTTGAAAACAATTTGTTTTTTGATATTCTTATTTTGCCTGGTAGCTTATTAAAGTAATTATTCAAAGTATAATTAAAAAATCACATCATCCAATTCAATTTTTGAATTTGCCGTTTCTATCTCTAAGGATTTACATGTATGTAACTGTTTAAAAATGCTTTGTAGATATGGATGTTAGAACTAAAAAAAATGCAGATCTTTTACGAGAAAGGACCTAAAAAAACCGAATTTGTAATTTATTTTTAAATGTACCTACTGTTTTTGATACAAAACCTATGAAGGCGTATTACTGATCAACGTTGTTCCGGTTTTTTGAGTTGACTGACTCTTTAAGCACTAGTTTTTTAAACAATTAAACTTTAGTTGTACATAAACCAACAGACGCCAAAGTTTGCCGATTCTTATTCTAAATCTGCAATTTGCACCAGAAATACTTTTAAAGATGGTAAATACATTAAAACAAGAGAATTTGATAAACTACCTAAAATAATTATTAAACTGTTCATTTCTGAAAATTTCTTATCTACAGCAGATATACTGGACCAACTAAGTATTTCAAACCCACCATTTTTAATTAATACATTTTTTGTATATTATATGAAGAGAAATGATTCTAAATTAGGCCTTCAAAGAATTCACGCATGTCGGTATAATTCTTCGTTTTTTAAGTCTCTGTTTAGATTTAATTCAGAGTCGCGCGTAATTATCACGGACGTGAGCCTTATCTCTGTTGGTCATGGCCTACTTTAGAACCATTTTTTGTGTATTAAAAACACTAATCCCTACAAATACAAATGTCAAAATTTCATACCAATATGGCGAAAATGATATTAATTGTATGTAATGTAATTTTTTTCCTTACACCCCCCTGGCAGAAACCGTGTATATCACTTACATAAGCAAGCAAGGTCGGCTATAATATGCATTTTATCCTCCACTTTCTCCTGTTCTGTGCTATTTTAATAAAAAAAATAGTGAAATTTTAAAACTAGCTAAACAATTTTTTCTAATTTCCTTTTTTCTGTATCAGAACTTGAATGGTACAAGATCATAAATAAAATATATCAAAAATTGGTGGACATAATAGCAAATTTAATGTTCATAAAAATCAATTTTTTTGATGGTTTTATAATGTATGTCAACTATTTTGTGTCATTTAAAATTCTAATACCACTTTTAATAAACCATTTTTAGATTAAAATCTAATATTGTAGTTTTTCTAAACGTTTTGTACTTATTTGAATGTGGAACGTAACTATTGTTATATTTTGTTTCAATAAAAATTATTCGGCTAAATGTTGTTTTAATGGTATTGAAAATGAACGTTTTTCTTTCCGCAAACCGATAAAACTGTGGAACGGCCGCCAAAATTTAGAAGGTACAGTGTGTTAACCCATGGATCCTTCGAAATAAAGATGAGACGCCTAAATATTTACAATTTAAGTAAATTGGCTGATTGCCTGCCGTCTTTTGACGGGTGGGCACTAGTGGGCTGATGGTCACTGTTCTACCTCTGTCTAATAAATAGCATAGCTTATTCTATAACTTTCTTATGGTGTCATTGATTGAAAGTTAACTATAGTATACTGTAGCAGATAATTAAAAAGCAAAATGTATGTGCAAACTCCATGTGGTAATTTTAGAAGTCTCAACTTTGTGGCCCTACTTAATCTAATGCACTTATTTATAAACATATCTCAGCTGAGTTGGACTTGGTTTTGGATATTTTGTCTTTCTGATATATGAGGGTAAAATTTTCTTTGGCAATAAGAAATAAAACTTATTTTGTATGGATTATAATTTGTCAATATAAATCAAGTAGCAGGGATTCCAAATAACAGCCATACATGAGAATACTGTTGATATAGACCACATACAAGTTCTGACAGTATGTGGGTTTTTTAGTTCAAAACAAGACCTGAAATAAAATCTAATTGTATATGTGCCTTATTACCTACATTATAGTTAGATAACAAATACACAATTTTGAACTAAATAATTTTGACACCAATAATATATATGTATACTGAAAAAACTGATCGCGGAACAGCAGTTTTGGTTCCGTTGCATTTGTTAAATTAAAACACCTTCACCACGATTTACATTATGCCTCGGCTAGTCATGATCACTTCTAAAAACGTAATAGTCGTTTCTAAACAGTTCTGATAAATTTGATACATCTGATTGAAGCAAAGTTTTGGTTAATAAGGCGATATTCGGATAAAGATGTGGCTTGACTGAATTAGGTAGTTTTAGAATTTAAGGCTCTAGTGTTTTTCCTTTCCTTAGTATTGCTACCACAAAAAATCATTTAAATTAACCCAGTAATAAAATATTTTACTGTATAAAATTTCAAATTGCACTCTACATTTTTTGAATATTTTAATGATTCTGATAAAAAGTTACATTTTGTAATAAACTCTTGCCAATTCTTAATTATTTTGTAATCAAGAGTAATTAATTAAAAAAAAAAAAACGTCAAAGTATCAAAGATATGTATATTAAATCTTTATTAAACATTAATTTGAAGAGTTGAACTTAAAATTAAAAGAAAATCATTTATATTGGTAATCTGATTTAGTCACCTTGTGTATATAAAACCAATTGTAACTTTTAGCTGTCATTGACTTGTACCTTTGTATTTGTGTCAAAGGAATTTTTAATATCGTTCCGTTGAGCGTGGTACAACCTGTATACTAGGGTGTGTCACTTTTGAGTAACTTTTTTTTTAAGTAAAAAACAGGCTAAAACCTATTAGGAAGGGGAAAAAAGAAGCCTCTAAAAATTTGAGTTATTATTAACATTTAGTGGTGCCTGTTCCTAACTTTCCATTTAAATAACATGAAAAAATTTTTCTTCTTTTTGTAGCTTGAAAAATAATTTAGTTCAGGTAAAATTATAAAAAATAAAGAAAAATTCAACAATAACAAATCAATCGTTTTATTTAATCTATAATTGAACACAAATAACTTTTTTTGACAGTAAATAAAATAAAATAAAAAAAAAAAAAAATTGAGATGTAAGCGTTATTTTCTTTCTATACAAAAATAACTATTTTTTCTTGAAAATAATTTTTAAGACAAAAAAGTCATCAGTATTAGTTTAATAAAATAAGTCACAATTTTATACATTTGCAACTTTAAGATTGAATATCTTCAGAACGGCTTACTCTATGAAAAAATAAATTAGACCTTTTTTGTAGAGCGTTCAATTTCCTACCAAAATAATTTTTCAGGTCATTTTTACAATGCTAAAATGTCAAGCTACAAAAATAAGAAAAAAGAAAATTATTGTTTCCATGTTATTTAAATGGAAAATAGAAAAATAGGAATAGGCACCACTAAATGTTAATATTTAGAGCTCAAATTTTTAGAGGCTTCTTTTTTCACCTTCATGAAAGTTTTGAGCCTGTTTTTTAGTTGAAAAAAAAAAAAGTTGCTAAAAAATGACACACCCTACTGTATACGATAATTTGATAACACTGCTTCGCTTCAAATGACACATCACAGTACATTATTTCGAAAAAATATAGCAGTGAAATTACGATTACAACCCTAAAATCCTCTAATCATTGTTTCTCAATAATTATATGTGACACTGGCTTCGAGTTATTTTTATTTTATTCAAAAAAAAGTTTCTTTCATACATTATTTTTAACATATATTTGGCAACGTTGTAACCATTTGCATTAAATATTCTATTGGCTGCTTATAAGCGCGAATAACATTTTAAATACCAATTTGCTTCAAAATGCCCAATTAAATAAAGGTTTTCTTTAATAGAAAACTCATTGTTTTTACGTAAATATAAATAAAAATTCCAATGCGATGTTATAGCTAATTCCAGCCAAAACATTTACTTTTTTAGGGGATGGTAACAGCTTGTAAATATATTTTGGATAGGATTTTAAATAAAAGAAATCAAATTGTCAATAATTGTATCTATAATTTACTTAAAAATTAAATTCCATACAGAGCTATTCAAAATCAATTGACCAATTCGTTAAAAAAAAAAAAAATAACAAAAATCAGTTTACTTACAAATACAACATTCAGAAGTGGTTCTGTAATAATGAAATACTCTGTAAGTGGACAAGGTAGCATGTAACAAACATAAATAATTACTCTAATTCTACCTATTAAAAAAATATTTTAGGTTGGTTTCAGCTTCATCCACGTAAATCAAAATTGTAATAAACGTCTATAAAAAAAAAATCTTGAAATTTTACTAAGGTCAGCTATTGGTTTTTAATAATCGTTTCAAATGTACCAGTTTTCACTTAAATTCTGAGATTAGTTTCTATCTGGACTGAAATTGCTTCGTCTAATTTTAAAACATCTCCAATTTGGCTTAATAAATTCATGTAGGCCATTAAGTGTTATAAAGTAATGACCAATTCTATCATCTTATATTGAGAACTAAATTTAATAAAAACATTCCCATGCTCTGTTGACAGCACTATCACTTGTCAAAAAACGTGACGTTTCTTTGTTGTTCACTGAAAATGAATCTAAAAATGCCAGAAACCCGTTCAAAAAAGATTTATCAGTGACAATTATGTTTTTAACATCATGTTTGACAGATGACAGTAGTGCTACCAACCTAAAAGTTACTAAATATAGAGATACATTTGTCAAGCCTGTTCTAGATTTCCATTTGTGAAAAATACAAAAATTCCATACTCTGTTTTTAAGGATCTTAAAATTGCTTAAAATTTGTTCCTGAATACAAAAAAAAAAAATAATTTTCAATCTGATGAGGCGTGACATATTCAGTCCAGAATTTAATTTACATTTCAAATTACCCTAGTAATTGAAAGTTTATACACATAAATCAGCACATGATTTTCTAAGGTGAGATTTGTTAGCTTCCTCAGTTATTTCTAGGTTGACAGCACGGTCAACTGTCAAAAAACGCAACGTTTCTTTATTTTTCACTGAAAACGAATCGTCAGAAACGGTTTCAAAAGATTTATGCGTGACAACGGTCATGTTTTTAACGTTTGACAGATAATAGTGCCATCAACCTAAAAAGTTACTAAATCTAGTGATACATTTATCAAGCCTGCTCTTAGATTTGGGGAAAATTACATGTGAAATACCCAGAACTGGTACAATCCCTTTTCTTTGGTCTTCGTTTTTGATTTCTGTCTTTTATTACAAAAATAATGCATCCGAGTCAACAAAAATTATAAACTAGTAAGTAGTTAAAAAAAATATCACATGATTAGAAACGATACAGGATTTTTTACAATAAAAAAATGTCTTGTTTTTGTGTCAAATTCTAAATAAATGCGCAAAACAGTGACCATTTTTATAAATCATAAAACATCCTGTATGCAGAGGTTATACATTGTTTAAGTTAATGTAACTTAATATTTAATTTATCTAACTTTTGTCAACGCAGATTCATTAAATTAATGCGTCCCGTATTTTTAGCTGCAATTTTATGTAATAAAATTAATAAAACAAATCATAAAAAGATACCACTTTAATTATCAATATAAAGTGATTCAATTGTAAAATTGCAAGATTTCTTTCCATCTGGGTTACCCACTGCATTAATTTGAAGGAATATATTGCAAATAACATTTTTTACAACCGGATAAGTAGTCTTATGGAATTGTCCAATTTCAATCTAATGTCAATTTTTATGCATATACATATTAAAAACAGAAAAGAATATACATTAAACTAGAAACAATAAACCACTCAACAGAAAAAATGTAATTCCTTCAAAACACATTTAAACTATATTTTATAATTCACTTGGTTATAATTTAATAAGTGTTCAATTTTTTTAGCGCTTGCCGTTGTTGAAGTTCAGACTCCTCAAAGGTGTCTTGAATGTTGATGCAGCTTGTTGCTGGAGCTGATATGCCAGAGGATGTATTTTGAATCCAAATAACCTGCAAAGTTATAAGTTTAAAACACTTGATGACCTAATTTTCAAGAATATTTTTATAGTAACGTTCACGGAAATTGGATGAAAATATTGAAATTTTTCATAGATATACTGTTAATATCTTGATTATGTTATAGTATTAAGGTCCAATTATATAATGCGAGTTAAACCTGGTTCTTAATATTATACAATATTAGTTAAGGAAATAAATAGATCTTATCTCTGTTGAACAAAGTGGTCTATGTAACCACTTTATTCAACAGAGATAAGATCTGTTAACAAGTGCTGTTACATATACAGATTAGGACTCTATTAATTGAAGACTGCTATACTAATATTTGTAACTTGTCGAAAATCATCGTAATCAATTCAGTCAACTTGTATAATACGAGTATATTAGTCAGACATTTACTGCTTGGCTCTCGCAGGATAACCTACGCTGTTGCAGGTAAGCCAATTCCTTACCGTTCGGCAATTAAAATAATGATTAAAAACTGAGAGTTTTGGATGCCTACAACATGAAAAAAATCAGAAATTTAATTTTATTTGTAACATTTTTCATACATTTCTGAAAATTCCTCCCTCAGCCCGTAATGAAAACCCGTCATGTAATACATTAATCGATGCATCTCAACCTGGGTATTTCTATAAAGTTTTGCTGCTCTATCTCCTCTTTTAAGCTAGTTTTTCATAGAAAAGTGTTCGATCCAAAGTTTACCCAATTTTTTTGCCCCCCCCTCTATCTATCTCTATCGCTTTCTCTCTCTTTTCTTTTTTAGCAAAGCCTTTTCCAAAATTTTTCCTGGAAAATGCATTTCGGGCACAGGAAAAAATTCGATGCAAGATTGTCAAAAATGAGTAGTATACGCAGTTTAAATTTTTCGAAAAATAAGTCAGTATAATAAATCTGATAACTATTTTTTTTTCGAATTTTACGATATGAAAAAATTTTCCGAAACAGATAAATCCGCTGTAGAAATAAAAATGCTAGCCCCGCCGGAAAATTGCTGGAAAACAAATTTCCTGGAGGAAAAGAAAATTTCAATCTTTCGTAATAGTCAGACAACATGTACTTAGGCTCTTTTTATTAAACCGTTTTGTAACAATATTACATAAAAAAAAAACAAGAAACTTACCTAGGAACAAACTGATTTGTAGGACGTTTCGGTCTGTATTCTGGGTGAACCATGAACAACATGTGGGGGAAGCCTGTGCCAAAATAGGCGCCGTCCGTATGATGATGCCTCGATGATTTTGGTGTATAAACATCCATACATTTTGGACAATAAGATTTTACCATAGCTTCACCAGGCACATCAGATAAACCTAAATCAATTATTGTTTTACAAATGATTATGCACACAAAAAAGATCACATGATCGATCATATTCCCTTATTAAATGACAAATTTCTGCTGATAGTGACATCTCTATATTGTGCTCACACCATTCTGGGTGTTCCACATAAGTACCAACACAGAACAGGTGCGTGTTTGGCACCCCAAAATATGATGATTTAATGCAATTTACCTCTTTACCAAGTTGTATCCCTAAGGAGTTACGGAAACCTACAGTGGGGCCATAAATTTCGAAAAGATTTAATATCTCTGCAACAGTTTAACTTAAAAAATCTATATTTGGTAAATTAATTAAGCACTTCACGAGTCTTAATTTGGGAGTGAGTAAAAATTAATTGAAATATTTTAAGGGGTGGTTTTGAGTTACCCCCCCTTATAACTATACGGAACTTTTTCGTCCATTGGACGATTTTTAAAATTTTAATTTTGTTTTTTGTAAAATTTAATTTTAAAACTTTTTTACTCTTTTTATTCTTTAATAAACTTTATTTTTCGAGAAAAACGAGAAAAATTAAATCAAAGCATTATGATAATGTTAATCAATTCAACAAATAGCAAATTACTTTTAATAAACTCGATTTAAATGAGAACACAATTAAAACTGATATAATAATAATATCTACATAATAAAAATTAAGTAAACTTGGCCCCACTTTAGGCTTCCGTAACGCCTTAGGGGTACAAATTAGTAAAGAGGTAAATTGCTTTAGATGCTCCTCATATTTTGGGTGCCTAACATGCACCTGTTCTGTGTCGGTACACCCTGTATATCATATAATATAATATTGACATGTTAAATTTTGAATCTTCTCATATAGCAGCCACTTTTTTTGCACTTTTTAATGCCTTTTGGGCACACTTTGAAAAGAAAGACTAATTATGGCTAAATATCTTTCATCCCTAGAATTATTTTTAACTATAGTTGATTAATTATTGACTATAATTAATAATGATATTTTCTGTTGGTCACTATTGAGAATTATTAGGAGTCATGGAATGTTCTTCATAGTATGAATATGAGAACAACTGATTGTTTATAACTTCAATTTATCCACAACAAAATCATTAGTTTAGTAAAAGTTAGAGAATGAAATGTTAATTTTTTTCTTCTAAATAATATAAACACATTTAAAAGTTACTCACCTAAAGGTAACATAGGTTGTGATTCACAATAGACTCTAGGGCAATAACCGAAATCACCTGATTGATATTTTTCTATCATCTGAGCTATACCTCGATTTGTTAATATGTACCTAGCATGTATCAACCCATAAAGCATTTCTGCAGCTTGTTCTATTAGGTCAGATTGATTAGGATTGTCATCTAATTCATCATCTATAAAAAAAAGAGGAATTTTCAAATAATAATACGATACAATGGAAAATAATTATACTATATTAAATGAGTTACATATCCATAGAACTATTTGAATAAGATTAATATTAAACATACAATTTAACAATTTGCTGACAATTTAAAATTATAATTAATAAAACAAGTTTAAGTGTAAATTTGAATTTATTCAAATTATTACTACACAACTTAATCTGATCTTCTGCAATTAGTTGAATATTTTAAAACTGATTTTTTCACAGATGTCTTTTAGGAAAATTTTTATATCATTTTCTTGTTAAACTAATCATGCTGAGGGTTGAAAATAACCAGATTTATTTAAAAAATATATTTCATGATACAAACCTAATTCTAGGAAGAACCAGAATATCATCATTTAGTCTAATCTAAATTATTCAAACAAAAAATGTTTTATAATCAATTGTGAGAGTGTTTTATTTTTTGATAGAATACTAGTTCTACATAAATATTACTTCCTAAACAAAGGGCTAGGGCCATAAGAACATAATACATTTTTATTTTGAACTCTGGTGAACCACTCTCGAAATACTGACTGGTACTTTTTCATTCAAAATCACTAAATTTTCTAGAAGTTTCCGAAATCATCGCCGAAATCAAATAGATAAAAAAACCTTTCAGCTTCACAGAGATGTAAAACATTTTTCACTCAGAAAAATTAATGAAAAATCTCCTGACATTTATTTTTATGTTCAACACAATCACATATTACTTCTTGTTTATTAAAGAAATCCCACAATTCGTTGACTTTAATCGAGTGCCCTAAATAGAGCTGTGTCAAGCCATAGAGGTACTAAATAAAAAACAGACGGATGTCTGAAAATGTTTATTTACACAGAAAATTAAGCAGCTTATAGAAAAAAATTATCAACCACAATAGTATCTAAGTAGTGTTCTTTTTGAAATAAATTATTTAACAGTGTAACTCTAAATCATTATATACACATGATAAATGATTGTACCCAACTGGTTAGTGGTATTAGATGAAGAAAGATGCAAATGTATTATGTACATAGCACAAATATCACAGCATGTCAGCACATATTAAATAAATACACACACATTACTAAATAGTCTACCAAAACAGTGAGAGAAACTTAACAAAGAGTAAAAAACACTGCTCTAGTAAAGCACTTTAATTTTATTTTTAAATTGGGTCAAACCCAGTTTATCATGTTCAGATGGTAATGCATTGTATAGTTGAATACCGATATGTTGATTTACAAGACCTTCTAATATAACAGAGAAATGGTAAAATTTTTAGATTTATAAATATGGATTTGCAATGTTCTATATGACTTACCCCTTTCTTAAAACTCGTTTTTGTAATAAAATAACTTTTTCTGATTATCCCAAATCAGGATAGCATAGGTCATTTTACTAAGAAATACAGAATATCTAATATGCTGTTCTGAGATAATGTATATCTAAATTATGTTTTAGCTGCCTCATGGCATAAATTGATTTTGTTCGACTTAAGTGATGCTTAATTAACAATTATTAGGGATAGAACGATACCGATATTGATATCGGTATATCGGCAGTTGTAGCGGATTATCAGTATCGTATCGGCAAAAAAAAATGTTTTGCGCTTTTCACTCTTTTCAGAGCATAAATGAAATACTTTGTTAATCAAAATCATTTTTTTTTATTCCAAAGATAACATTTTTACTAAAAAAGTAAAACAAAATAATCAGCAACTGTTCTCTTTCTACCAGCGCCCGCCCGTTTCAGCTTCCATTTTATTTGAACTCTCCATTTAAATAGAATATTTTTATTTATTATTTATTTTATCTCCTCTAATTAACAGTCAAGTTAAAACGCCGGGTTTTAAAGCACTACAGAATATAAGAGGCTTCCCCTGAATTCCGAAATGTCACTCACACCAATCACAAACGTTTCCTAACAACGAAATTATAAAACGGGACTTCCCCGGTTTTTGCTTCGGTTGTGTATAAATAGAAGGCGTTATCACAGCGTATACAATACAGCTCTACAACTCCGTGTCGGCGTCTTTGATGTGGCGGTCGAGAACCAAGCGAGACGGAATGGTGCTATCTCTGTTAGATTCGACGGAAAAGTCGGGCCCAGATTAAAAAATATATTTATTATTGAAATAATTGAAGACCTTGGCGTAATAAGATTGGTTACATGCCACATTAAGTAAGTTTTGAGAAATTAAGTTTTAAATTTGTTTTAAAACTATCAAATATAAATAAAAAAATTATTTAAATATAAATATTACGAATAATAGCACATCTTTCGGATTAGAGATGAAATAATTTGTATGTGGCTAGTAATATCCTTGTTAAGAGATGTTTTAAGCTAAAACAGTCACTTCACGACAAATTGTGGCCGTGGATGCAAATCAAGTGGTACCCCGTGTGTCTAGCAAGTGTCATTCATCGCGCAAAGGGTTTATAGTGTTTATACCTAGATAAACGACTGCTTCGACTGTCTGAGGTCTGGGAACTCGATGATATTCTGGGTTATTATAAAGAATCGGTAACTTGTGCTTTTATTTTAACAATATCGGTTTTATTTAGATGTATTTTTATTCATAAAGATTTGTAGAAGTAATAATTTGACAGTTTTTATTTATATACCTATTATATTTTTATCTGACCGTACCGAAGTAGAGAATTTTGAAACTTGATACTAATATGAAATTTAGATTACAATATTATGCGAAATTATATAATTAGTACCTATTTTAGGTAGGTACTAAATTTGTACTTGGAGAAAGTAATATCGATTTTTACAAGAAAACTCGAAAAGTAAATTAATTTAGTTTCTATTTACTGATGTAAACATTAAACCAAGAAAACAAATAAATAGTAGTTTGTGCAACAAGAGTGGATATGGACAATCCACTCGAGTTGTACAGTATATTTTTTCTACGACCCACTGACGAAAATCTACAAATTAAAATAAATTATTTTAGGTTATTTAGACAAAATAACTAATTTTAAAATAATTTACGAATTTTACTAATTTATAAAATAAATTTAATTAGTCCCGGCCTAGATTCGATCCCGGGCTTTTCTCGTAGAAGGCAGATGCTCTGTCCTCATCTTCACCGACACTTTTAGGATTTTAGTTTTAATACTCGTAATTAAATGACATTCACACAGCTTGTAACTTTTATATAGATCGTCCAATTTCCCCAAAAGGTCTTCCCGATTGGCTTTCATTGCCCATATCCTAGCCCTGAAAAAATCATGTGTTTAGGTTTAAATAAGTTAATTAATAGACTATCATCTACACAATTAAACAAATTTAGAATTCCTAGCTCAATAGGTAACTTTAGCACCTAAGAGGAATTAATAAAAATAAAAACAGCCTAAACCTAACGTAATTCAATAAACGAATCTGTTTATACAGGGCGTAATTGTTCCATATTTTAAATTGTGTTATAGACGTTTTTTGCCTGGCAAATAAAAATTTATGTTTTTTTTAATAGAACACCCTCTATTTTATTTTTAGAATGGCTTGTTAACACTATATTCAACCCTAGCATGTTTTGAAAAAATATTACAGTTTTGCCAAACAATTATTTTTTTTTAAATTAGAGAATGATGCTAACCCCAAATTAAATTATCATAATTTAGGTAGGTTTACACTGATTTAAAAATTGTTAAATATACATACTTATATGATACTAAGCTAACGAATAGTGGTGATAGAACTGGTTAATTTTATTAAAAATGTTTTGAAACGTGCCTTAAATATGGCTAATTTTAAGTTTAATTTACTCAATTTTTTTTAAATGTATATTATTTTGACATAAAATTCCTAATACATTTAACTATTCAACGATACCAACATGTTAGCCAATAACACATATACAGGGTGTCCCATTGGTGCATAATGTATTGATAGCTGTTTTATTATCAGAAATTCAAAAAAAAAAATTAATATAAAAGTTGTATGGCCATATTTAACAATTACCCCTAAATATACAAGGTGGCCTATAAACGAGGTGCTGACCAAACCTATACTTTTTTAAAGCAAAACACCCTACAGGTAGTAGTTCATATTTGATTGTTATCACATCGTCAAACAATTTTAATTAACTTCACTCATTTGCTATGGTGTATATAGGGTGTGTCAAATCGTGAGGTTACGATTTTCTCTATTTTTTAAATGGATTACCATGTATCAATTAGTCGGTGGTATAATTTATAGGGTATTCCATTTAAAAACGTGAGAAAACCGTTACTCCCCATTTTGACACACCCTATATACCCTATAGCAAATAAATGAAGTCTATTAAAATGGTTTGACGATGTGAAAACTACCAAATATGTATGACTACCTGCAAGGTGTTTTGCTTTAAAAATGTATAAGTTTCATCAACTCCCCTCGTTTATGGAACACCCTGTATATTTAAGAATATTTATTAAACATGGTCATAAAAATTTATATAATTTTTTTTTTCGTATTTCCACTAATAAAACAGCTATCGATCAATTACGCACTCATGGGATACAAAGTTTGTGTTATTGGCTAATATTTTGGTATAGATAAATAAGCAAATTTATAAGGAATTTTAGGCCAAAATAATATACAGGGTGTTTTGTCTGAAAAAATTGAGTATTTTGAACTTAAAATTAACCATATTTAAGATATATGTTTTAAAACCAGTTCTATCACCACTATTCGTTAGCTTAGTATTTTATAAGTCTGTATATTAAACAATTTTGAAATCAATGTAAACCTACCTAAATTATGATAATTTTATTTGGGGTCTGCATCATTCTCTAATTTAAAAAAAAATGAATTGCTTGGCAACACTAATATTTTTTAATACATTTTAGGGTTAAATACAGTATTACCAAACCATTCTAAAATTAAAATAAAACACAGGGTGTTCCATTTAAAAAACATACATTTTGATTTGCCAATTCAATATTCAAAAATATTTTTAAAATATGTATTTTTCAAATCCATATAATTTTTAT